CTCCTCTCCCCATCTGTGGGCAGAGCAGGGGAGGGGGAAGGGCGCTTGGTCTACCTGCTCTCAGTTGCTTCGACCTGGGAGACCTGCCCCATCCATCCCCCAGTTGCCTTTGGAGAGTTGAGGACACCCTCAGGGCTCAGGCAGGTCTCTGTACCTCTCTGCACCTCCCTCACTCTCACACCGGTAAGTCTGTGCACCCAGGTCCAGGGTGGGGGAGAGGCACCAATGGTAAAAGTGGAGGGGGGATGAGCAGAAGAGGAAGGAACCTGGATCCTCCAGAGACCCACCTCCTGGGGCCAGTTCTGTGGGACCACACATCCACCTGCCTTCCCTCGCTTGGGGATCCAGGGAGTGGTAGGTGCCAAGGGCCAGAAGGAAGACACTGAGAATATGGGTACCTTAGAGACACCCAAATCCCACCGCAAAGCACATTTCATTGAGTTCACTGAAGTCAGTGAGTCTAATATCTGTATTCCCTAAATCGGATAGGGAAACTGAGGCCAGGGGAGTGACCTCTCAGGTCACTCGGTGGGTCAGGCAGAGCTGGGACAGGTGCAGAGGTGGGGAGAGGTTGAGAAACTCTTGAGTCTCTTTTTGTATTTCACTGGGGTTATTTTATCCTGATGTCAGGAAGGAACAGTTCCTAAAAAACCTTCAGTGTGACCCAGGGCAGGTCCTTTCTCTTTCTGAGTCTCAGTTTTCTCTCTCTTGAAATGGGGAGAGCAATCCTGACTCTTTAGAGAGATTGTGAGAACTCAAGGCAGGCTCCGGAGCCCCTAGCACAAACCCTGCTCTTCCCAACCCCTCTGCCCACACGCCCCTCACCCTGTGATCTTGACTGAGTGGGTCCCATGCCGGCGGTATCTCTCTGGCCTCCCAAGGTTCACTGGCGTGTGGCTGTAGATGCCTCCCTTGTAGAGGAAGAAATCCTCATGCACCTCCATGAGGGCTATGGGCAGATGTTAGAGTAGGGTCCACTCAGCCCGTTGGCACAGGCACTGGTGCCTGAGTCTATTGACGTATGCCCAGGCACCAGGGCCCCTCTATACCAAAGCTCTAAGTGCCCCCTCCAGGCACTGCCTGTGGGAGGGGAGGTCCCACCACTACCGACCCCTCTGGACATGCTGCTGAATGCTGTGCAGACCACTTGTGCCACTGTGCCAAGTCTCAAGCAAGGACAAGCTTCTGGAACCAGGGTGCTGGATGAGGGGCATTTACCTTGGACAGGGCCATTCTCCATCAGCTCCTTCATGATCTCTGTGTCCTGGAGGGCAGGGGATGGACAGAGAGCATCCGTCAGGGGTGAGACTCCAGGCTTTCATTTCCCAAGCCTCCTGCCTCTGTTCCTCACCCAAGTGCTGACTTACATTGGAGCCGAGGCGGTAGGCAGGAGTGACCTGGTAGATGTTGTTGTTATTAACGTGGCCGTTGGGGCAGCGGGCAGTGGCCTGGCGCTTGCCCCGACCCGTGGCTCGGCTGTGCATCATACAGGGGGGCGCGGGGCCACCCTTGTCTCGCTCACGGCCCGAGAAGGGGTAGCAGTGGTCAGACACCACCCTGGAGAGGCAAGAGGGGGCAAAGGCAGAAAGACCTGGTGCATCATGGCCCAGGCCATGCCCATGGAGCTTCTCGCCCTCTTCCCTGCCCACATCCCCACTGCTGCATACCCTCGGCGACGCAGGAACCACCAGGCACCATCGAGACGCCCACCGCGGCAGCCCTGCTGGTGGTGGGTGTTACAAGACAGCAGGTTCTGGGGCGACAGGACGGGTGTCATGTGTCCCAGAGAATGGATAGAGACACGATCGGATGCCACAGCTGGTGGGGTGAGGCAGAGGGGCTGTCAGGAGGCTCAGAGCTTGGCCCTCCTCTCCCTGGCACCAGCCCTTGCCCTTAGCTTACCTGCTGTGGAGAAGGCCCAGGAGCCTGCACAGTTGCCCTGGTCAAGAGGCTCGTGAATCAGGTTGGGCCACTTCTCAGAGGCCTCGAAGGCCTTGGGAAGCACCTCCCCTGGGTTCAGCACTGTCTGCAAGATAAAGGTTGCCCTGTCTGCCTCCTGTTCTGTACTGGCTTGCCCCTCAGGTGTCCACTGGCACTGGAGGGCCACCAAGTCCAGGGCCTTCTGAAGTTTGATCTGGAACCCTCCTGCTGCTGCAGGATTCCAGCTGCCTCCAACTTTGACTTGAGCTGAAGAACGCAGCACCATTTAGTGCCTCCCAGGTATCAGGTGGGGGCGACTAGTCCTGCTTTCCAGATGAGGCAGCTGAGGCCAGGCACAGGCAAGTGACCAGCCCAGGCCCCTCCGCTTTCCATTCTCAACCCCTGCCTCTTTCCTCTGCACCTTCTGTTCAGCCATAGCCTTTCCACCAGGGCCCTGGGCTCAGGCCTCAAAGGGCAGGGGAGGGAAAAGGCAGTAGGGTCCCATGACCAGGCAGGCTGCCAACACAAACAGCAGGAGGCAGAAAATAACCAGAGGCCCAGGGGAAAAAGGGCAGGGCCAGGGGCTGGTCACCCCAGGCCGAAGTTTCTGCAGGGAGGGCCACTCCTGCCAGCCCTTGCCTCCCCACTGCCTGCGACTGATGGACAGATGCTCCAGCGCGTGTCCTAGTCCAGGCCTGCTGAAGCTTCCCTTCCTCACCCTTTCACTTTGGGCCTGGTTCCCATTCCTCTCCCAGAGGGTCCCACTGTCGGGAAGAGAGAAGCCCTCTCCTCCCTTGGGGTTCCATTGAATCGGCATTTATTTCCAAGAACTGCTGCCCTCTGGCCAGAGCTGGAGAAGTGTCTCTCCTTCCCTTCCCAAAATACCAAGGTGACCCCCTGTCCCCTTGGGCCCTGACCCAGCTGTACTGAGACCAACAACATTTTTCCCAGGCTGGAGAGATCGGGGGGAGCTGATGCCAGGACCACAAAACTCAAAATGAGCATCAGTTCTTCCAGCAAAGCACATCTTGTGGAAACAGGAAACAGAGGCCCAGAGAAGGGGAGTAACTTGTCCAGAGACACACAGCCTCATAGGTAGGGGATGGTCCAGGCCCTTGGAGGAGCAGGGTACAGGGCCAGCATCCCTGAGGTTCTGAGCCATGGGAAGATGGCAGGATTGTGGGAAAGGATGGACTTACATAAATTTCATGCATGTTCAAGACAGAGGAGGATGGGCGGATGGTGCCCAGGCGGTAGCGAATGCCCTCATCCAGGGTCATGCCCCAGAAGGCACTGTGGTTCCCAGCCTGCCACCTGAAGGAGAGGGGATGAAAGGAAGTCACAGATCTTCCAAGGCTCGGGGCCCTGGGGGTAGCGACATGTGGGTGGGAGAGAGGCACAGTGGCTGAGTGCACACACAATCAAATCTGGGTACAGGAGTGCCCTGCTGGACATGCCCCACAGCAGGGCATGCGTGGATATGCGCATGTGTGTGCATGTGTGCCCACTGAGGGTGCTTCTAGGACCTCTCACCCATAGTTGCCCTGGTTGATGGCATTGATCATGTCTGGATCCACCAGGCATGGCTCTTGGTCACACTGCCACTGCCTGTTCTCCTGGCAGGTGCTGGGGAGAAAAGGAGAGAAGGAAAGGGTAAGTGGGGGGCTGGGGACCCTCTGAAGGAATATGACCTCGGAGGTTAACATGGGCCAGGGATTCTGTACCAGCGACTATGGGAGAGTCTCTAGGTGATCCCATCCAGCCGGGTGGCTTCAAATGTCAATGTCTAGTTCATGATTCTCAAGTTTATGTCTGTGGCCCAGATCTCTGCCTGAACTCCAGAGTCAAGGATCTCAGGGCTACTCAACATCACTACCAAACACACCCTGGACCGAATTCCTGATCTCCCACACCTATTCCCTTCATAGTTGTCAGGAAATGGGAATTCCATCCTTCCTGGAGTTTGGGCCCCAAACCTGGCGGTCCCTGGTGACTTCCTCTCACATGCTGATCCAGCGCACCCACATATCCTGTGGGTCTACCTTAAAATCACATCCAAAATCCGAACCGCCCTCATTCTCTCCTGCAGCCCCCTGAGTCTGATCACCTCTCACCTGAATTCCTGCTGTGGCTTCCTCACTGTGGGTGCTCCCTGCACCTGCCCCAGGCCCCCCTCTCCCAGGGTATTTTTAACAGCTGCCAGAATGACCCTGCTAAACCTAAGTCATATCATGTTGTTCCTCTGCCCAAAGTCACCCACTGGCTTCCCATCACAGAATAAGAGCCAAGGTTTCGTGGTGACAAGGCCCTGCACGATCTGTCCTCCTGTCCCCTGGTACCCTCCTCCTCCTCGTTCTGGTTCCAAGACTCCCACTAGGCTGGCTCCTGATGGTTCACACTGATCTGCCTGCACCCCACCACCCCCTACTTTTTTTGAGACAGGGTCTTGCTCTGTTGCCCTGGCTGGAATGCAGTGGTGTGATCTCGGCTCACTGCAGTCTCTGCCTCCCAGGCTCAAGTGGTCCTCCCACCTCAGTCTCCTGAATAGCTGGGACTACACGTGTGCACCACCACACCCAGCTAATTTTTGCATTTTTTGTAGAGATGGGGTTTCGCTATGTTGTCTCGGCTGGTCTCAAATTCCAGGCCTCAAGCAAGCCACCCTCCTTGGCCTCCCAAAGTTCTGGGATTTCAGGTGTGAGCCACAGGCCTGGCCTGTTTACATAGTTTAGACCTGTTTCCTCATAGGCTCTAAGTTCCTTGAGGGCAGGTATTGTTTGGTATTTTCAGTGCCTAGGAAAACAAAACCTAGCACGTAATAAGCACCCAATAAATATTTGTTGGCTGAGTCAGTGACTGAGGCCATATACTGAATTGACTAAGAGCATGGGCTCTGGAATTCAAATTCTGGGCTCCACTCCTGACCCACGAGCCGTGTGATCTGAGGAGAATCATTCAAACTCTGTCTCTGTCAATGACCTAGTCTATAAAATCAGGATAATACAGTGGTACCACTTTCCAGGGATTCAATGCCAGGCTTGTAAAGCGTTTTGCAGAAGCGCTCAAAATTAATACCTACCATCACCGTTCCGTTACAGGAACCCCAGACCCCTCTTCTCTAGAGCTTCAGACTCACATCCCACTGACCTGACCTCTCTGGATGTGCAAAAGGCACCTCAAACTCAAAACAGCCCATCTGCCTCCCCCAAGCCTGCTCTTCCCTAATATCTTCAGCTCTGAAAATGGCACCCGGCTGTTCACGCCAGAGCTCCGTGTGGTCTGCAGCGTCCGCCCACATGACCCCCATCAGCAGGGCTTGGAGATGGCGTACCAGGAATCCACCTGCCTCCCGCCCCTCCACCGTGGCCGCCCTACTCCCGTCCCTCCACCGTGGCCTCCCTACTCCCGCCCCTCCACCGTGGCCTCCCTACTCCTGCCCCTCCACCGTGGCCTCCCTACTCCTGCCCCTCCACTGTGGCCTCCCTACTCCTGCCCCTCCACCGTGGCCTCCCTACTCCCACCCCTCCACTGGACCATGGCACTGGCTTCTTCATCAAGACCACTACTCCTTTAGTATTCCCGGCCATCCCTCCCTACCCACCCCCAGGCCAGAGAGATCTTTGAGGAACATAAATCAGACCTCGTGCTCTACATGACTTCTTAGAACAAAACGCAGAATACTCAGCATAGCTGATGTGACCCACGGAACGTGGCCTGCTCCTCTTTTGGGTGTCTCTCCCCTACCCCAGCTCCAGCTAAAATGAGCTCTGTCACCTCCCAGCCTTCCCACAAGCCGCTCCCTCTGCACAGGCCAGGCCTCTTGTCCTCTCTTCTATCCTCCCCGGTCTCAGCATAAATGTCCCTTCCTCAGAGTGGCTTTCCCGCCCCCTCCCCACTCTAAGCTGGGACCCCCGTTATACCCTCTTTCCCCTGTAACACTGGACAGCTTGTCAGGATACACTCATTTATTGTCTTCCCATGCCCTTCGCCTTACTCTAGAAGTGGGAAAGGACTGTGTCTGTTGCGTTTCTGCTCCGTCTCATGAGCCCAGCACAGTGCCTGCCACGCAGAAGGTCTTTAATACGCAGTTGTGAACGGAAGGGCTGCATTCTATGAATTCTATAATGCTTGTATAAGCTCATAGCTCTGTTATTACAAGATGCTCAACTGCCTCCTTCCAAGCTGCCTGAGGCTCCCACCTCCAATGTTGCCTTTTAAGGAGCCTCAAGGGGAGCCAAGACCCAGTATGGCTCGCTCTCCAGCCCCAGAGCGGCGGGGGCACTGCTGCGGAGAGCCAGAGGAGTCCGAGGGCTGGGGAGGCACTCCTCGACCTTCCTTTCCCCATCTGCACACCAGGCTGTTCCCCCTTTGCATGCCTAGGCAGCAGCACCTGACCAGACTCTGGAAGCATCCCTTGAGGTCTCTGAAACCCGGACACTCCCCCACCTTCACCCCCAGAGCCGGCCAGAGGAGAGGGCAGTAGGCTGCTCAGTCCCTTCCTGCCGTCTCCTCCTTTGCCCCCAAGGCTGCCCACACAGGTCCAGACAGGGCCAGTGGTAGCAGGTCCAGGCATTCCAGAGGGGGCCTAAGGGCCAGGGACAGGAGTGAGAGAGAGTTAACCCCTCAGCATCCAGAGCCATACTATCAGAACCTGCAGACAGGGGCAGGCTGAACACACGCACGGTGTTTACACAGCATGCTGCACACATACATGCTCTCACCCAGACACGTGCTGAATCGCCCCTCCCTCACTGTGACCCGGGCACCCCTCACCCTAGTGAGGCAATGGAAACAGCTTATGCGCAACGCATTCCAAAAAGTTTCCTTCTCTCTGGGGCCTCAGTCCCAGGCAAAGAGGGAGTGGGGGTGGAGTGGGTGCAGGGCCTCCTCCTCCAAGTCGTAGGCTCCCCATTATTTCTATTAAGGTGTTCAGGGTTTCCTACCCGGCCCTTCTTCACTTCCCATCTCAGACTGAAGAGGGGCATACCCGTGACCCCTTCTTTCTCCTTTGGGGAACGGTGGGGAGGGGTGGGGAAGGGAAGAGGAGCACATTTCAGGGAAGGCCCTGCTAGATGCTGGCTGGCCGCCTGCTCAGCCATCCCTGACCCTCATCAGCCCGCAGCAGCGGATGCCGCAGTCAGAGGTTTCCTTCCTGGCGCCCCCTTTTCCCTCTGACTCTGCGGTGACCGCAGGAATAGCTGGGAGGGGTAGCCCAGCCCAAGCCCGGGGCGGGTAGGGGCGGGTGGGGAAGGACTCCCAGGTCAAGGGCAGCCCTTGGGCCAGGCACCCATGACTGGCCATGCTTGAGGAATGCTGTTGGAATGATGTGAGATAAGTTGACGTGGTCAGTGTTAAAATTCCTCCGTTGCAGATGAGGAAACTGAGGTTCAGAGAAGGGTAAAGGCTTTCCCTTGCAAAAGAGTCACAGGGATAGAATTTGAACCAAGTCTGTCAGCCACAAGCCTCCCAAAGCAAGACCTCTCTAGGCTCCAAACACTCACCAACGGTTACAGTTGTCCCAGTAGGTTCCCAAGACTGGATAGATGCGACCTCCATGCATACATCCTGCTGGAAGGAAAGAGAATGAAACTAGAGCCAGAGAGGATGGGCTGATTGGTCAGATCCTCAGAGGTCAGGTACCTTGAGGTCAGGAACGTTTCCAAGCTCACCAATCTCTCTCTCTCTGACACACACACACACACACACACACACACACACACACACGCCAGCTGTCACTGAAATGAAAGCCAAACTATAACTGAAGACATGTCCTGCAGGGTCACACACCAACTGCGACTTGGGAAGTTCTTCAGTGATTCCAACCTGGATCCCTCTCACTTTACTTGGATGCAGCCACAACATTCCCGGGATTCTTTGCCATTTAAATAAGTTAGGGTTAGGCCCAGAGTAGGTAAGCGACTGCCTTAAGACAACACAGCACTCTGAGATGACAGCTCAGGTATGCAGTCTGCCGGCCCAAGCAGCGTGGAACTGTGGGAAGGAATGCAAGTGATTCTCCTATTGGACAGGGGCAAGTGCATGCAAAAGGATGACAGCGAGGCTGAAAGCAGGAACAGAAATGACCCATCTCCCAGGCATGAGCAGCAGAAAAATGTCTAAGATGAGCCTCATCACCCCATGTGTGCCTTATCAGCCCAAGAGTGAGTCAGCAGGTGCGGCCAGCACCTTCCGTGTCTGCAGTGGAGACAGGATTGGGAGAAAATGTGGGAGGCTGCCCTTTCTTTGGGCCAACTTAGAATTCTAACCAAGGAGCTTCTTCCATTCTTGCTGGAGAGAGTCAAGTTAGACCACAGCAGAGACTTCCCAGAGGGGCAGGGAAGGGTCCCAGATTCTACAGAGCCTCCCCTGGAAATGTCAGTGCATCCAGCTTTGCTCCTGAGCCTGGGGTGGACAAAGCGACCCGCCCTCCTGGCCATCTTGGTGCCCACCTTGGATTGGGGGAAAAGGGGGTGGCACGCCGAGGCAGAAGTCCCAGAAGTCAGGGCAGCAGTCGGAGACCGTGCGGTTGCAGAAGAGGTCACAGTAACAGATGGTGCCCAGGTAGGGCAGGGCACAGTCGTCGGCACGGCCACGGCAGCACAGGTCCTGCTCCTGGCAGTACCGGCCTCCCGCGTCCCGGATGCCCCGCAGGTGCAGACCTGGTGCTAGCTCCCGGCGCCCACGACCCTTCTGGGCACCCAGAGCCACGTGGCCAGTCAGCAGCAGCAACAGCAGTAGCCCCAGTGGACATCGCCACATGGCGGCTCCTGGGCCCTGGGGGGCAGAGATGGTGGGCAGCAGAGACTCCCTGGCATACCAGAGACAGGTCTCCCAGTTTCCTGGAGCTGTGAGTTCAAGAGTGGCCAGCAGGGAGGGAAATCCCGATTCCTGAATCCCCAGGCAGGACATGGGCTTCTTCTCCTCAAGCCCCCAGGAGCCTAAGTGGGCCCTGGCAACAGGGGGATGGGGACTGGGCAGAAACGGAGCCCCTCCCTGACCTAGGCAGGGACCTTCAGGGACAAGGAAATGAGGGGTGGTGGCATTCTTGGTGCTCCTACCCAGCACTCATCCTGTGGACCCAAGGTCTTCTCTCCCGTCCTGGGCCCCTCTGCCCTCCAGCAGACACATCCCTGAACTGGGTCCTTGACTTTGTGCTCTCCTGTCTCCTCCTGTCTTCTGGGTCCCCCTCTTTTCTGCTCCTGTGTCCCTCTGTTCCCCTCCACTGTCCCACTTTCTGCCATCTGTCTTGGTTCCTCCGCCTGCCCCCTCCTCCTGTTTCTTCCCGGTCTACACCTTCCGCCCTCTGAGCAGGGGAGCGTCCCTACCTGGTGAGGGTGTGGGCTGGGGCCCAGGCTGCCCCGCGCGCCTCCGCCTCCTGGCTCTGCGACCGCCGGACACTCAAAGTCAAGAGAGGAGCGCGGGGCGGGGCGCGTTTTGTACCGCCCATGCTCTGCACCGCCCTGGCGGCGGGAGGGCGGGGCCGGCTGGCTTGTACCTGGAGTCACTACCCCACCGCTCGGGACTGGAGCTGTGGGCTTGCAGGGTGGAGAGACGACAAGCACGCGATTGTCCTGGCTGGGTCTCCTGTGGTGGAAGCCGTTCCCTTAGGGGAGCCCCAAGCAGGAAGGATTGTGGTCTAATACCGGGAAGGACTTCCCAGTGGGCGTCCCTGGGGGGCTGAGGGGCTCTGGTGAAGGCGAGACGTGGGCAGCCGAGCTCCGAGTTATGGACACAAGTTTGGAAAAGGATGGGGAAGGCATGTGAGGCAAAATTCTCGAAGCCTCCCCTGACCTCTCAGTAATAAAAACAGCCACGCACACCCCTCTCCATGGTGCCCCCCAGGCTTGGGTGCCACCCCAGCTCCTAGGAATGATTGGAATTCCAGGAGTGTGATCCTTAGGTGCCCTGGGCGGCTCACCTCGGGGAGGTGGGCATGGTGTGGGGGTGGCCCCCCGCCCAGCACCTCCCCCTCTAGCAAACCAAGGGTGTCCTGCTTAGCACCTGTACCCCTCCAGGGACCCAAAGGGAAGGGCCCCGCCAGCTGGCACAGCCTGCAGAGCCCCTCCTTCCTGCCCCAGGCATAAACCTCTCTTTGCCCAGGCTGGCCTGGGACCCAAACAATGGTGCTTCTGTCCCACCAGGTCTGCCATCACCTTTTACCTCCTCATTATGCAATGCCCTCTCTTCCAACAGGTTGGGCCCAGGCCAGAGGTCTCTACCTGCAAAGAGGATAAAAGAGACGATACCTGGACAAACCCTCCCAGGCCCAGGCCTGAGCCTCACATGCTGGTCCCTGGGGAGGCATCGGGGACTCCCTTGCCCTCCCACTGACCTCCCTGCATCCCTCCCCAAACCTAGGGGCATCTTCAGCTGGCCAGCCCCTGGGGGAAGGAAGAGAGCTGAGGACCATGGGCGCCTGTGGCTGAGTTACCCCTGCCATGGACCACTGGGTGATGAGTCACCAAGGGGGTCCTGCCCTAATGGTGGGGGTGGAGGGATGATGTCCTGGGGCCCTAAGCACTGGCACTGACACACCCAGGAGCTGTCCATCTGCTCCCTGCAGGGACTTGGGAGGACAAAGCCCAGGTTGGAAACTGAGGCTCAGAAGAACACACTTGCCTGAGGTCATGCAGCCAGAACACAAGTTCCCTGCCTGCCACCAGCCCACTCCTTTACTCCTAGTCACCAGCTACAGGTCTCAACACGCTCCTGGTTGGGAATTCCCTTTTCCTATCTAATCTTCACTGATCTTACTGCAAGACGGGCCCCTTGGCATTGGTAAATGTCATATCCTCAGGGTGAGAGATGAAGGCTGCTTTCTTTCAGAAGAGCTTACGCCCAGGGTGCCTACTTTTATGGGTCAGTTTCATGGTTCTGGGGCTGGGGGCTGGCTCAGGGACATCTGATCTATCTTTTGCCCAAAATCACAGCCCATAGGTTACCCTCGTGAGTCTGGGTGTGTTGTCTGTGTGTGCATGCATGCACGTGGATATCGAGTAGTGGAGTTTGTGGGGTGTTTCTGCTTCTGCTTGAGTCTGTCAGTCCACATCGGGTCATCTGTGTTTCTTTCGTTTTGTTTTGTTCTAAGACAAGGTCTCATTTTGCTACCCAGGCTGGAGTGCAGCGGCACGATCTCGAATCACTGCAGCTTTGATCTCCTTGGCTCAAGCAATCCTCTCGCCTCAGCTTCCTGAGTAGCTGGAACTACAGATGCACAAGGCGTGCGCCGCCATCCCTAGCTAAATTTTTTTGTATTTGTACTAGAGGTGGGATTTCACCATGTTGCCCAGGCTGGTCTCAAACTCCTAAGCTCAAGCAATTCATCTGCCTTGGCCTCCTGAAGTGTGTTTACCTGTCTGTCTGCTATGTGCCTGTGTATCTGTGAGTATCTGTATTTTGGCTATCTGCCTGTCGTTGTCTGACTGTGTCTGCTTGTCTGTCCATTTACCTGTCCATCTGCTATGTACCGGTGCATCCGTGTGTGTGTATCTGTCTCTGTGTCCATCACAGTGTGTCTGTCTGCCAGTGTGTGTGATTTGCCTGTATTTGTGCACTTGTTGGCTTGTAGGCCTGTGTGTGTGTCCTGTCTGTGTCTGCCTGTCTATGAGGTGTCTGTGTATCTGTGTGGGTGTCTGCCTGTGTCTGTGTGGGGATTGTGGCCATCTGCCTGTCCTTGTCTGTCTGTCTGTGTGTAAGAGGCAGGGACACAGAGCAGGGTATGAGAACAGAGCCAGAGCCTCCCCGCTATCACTGAGCTTGGCACAGAGCCCGCCCCAGTGGAATTTCGTGACTCACTAGGTTCCTCAGCCAAGGAGGAAAGGGCAGGACCGGGGGTGCTGGACACCCCCACTTTCCTTTTCCATGACCCTTTGCCTCCTGGTGACTCATTCTGTGACTTATTCTTTTTTTTTTTCCACACTGTCCCCCAGGCTGGAGTGTAGTGGTGTGATCTTGGCTCACTTCAACCACTGCCTCCTGGGTTCAAGTGATTCTCCTGCCTCAGCCTCCCAAGTAGCTGGGATTACAGGCACATGCCAACACACCCAGCTAATTTTTAGTATTTTTAGTAGAGATGGGGTTTCACCATGTTGGCCAGGCTGGTCACAAACTCCTGACTTCGTGATCCATCCACCTTGGCCTCCCAAAGTGCTGGGATTACAGATGTGAGCCACTGCACCCGGTTCTCTGAATTATCTTTGACCAAAGCGGGGCCTTGTCCAAGGGCCTGGGACAGAGCAACAGGAGAGGAGACACCAGTGAGACCTTCCCCTCTGAGCCCTTCAGCCTTCCCAAAAGGCAGGTAGCCTGGGTCCCCGTGGTGGTTCTGTCCTCCCTTACTCTGGACCCCCGCAGCATGGCCTTTCTCTGGGCATTGGTACTAATCTGTATCCAGATGCTCCCTGGAGGCCTTCTTGTGCTTTCTTACTTCTACAGAGGAAGGCGAAGCCAGAAAGGGGCAGTGACATGCCTAAGGACACACAGCAGAGCAGAAGCCCAGGCCTCCTCTCTTTAGAGTTCCAGAGCTCCCTGCACCGCACAACCTTCACAGCTGCCCCAAGTGCTCAGAATCAGCCATTCTCCTCTGCGGGCTGAGCAGGGCCTTCTGGGAAGACAAAGACCTGTTGTCTGCTCAGCCCAGGTCCCTAGCTGGGGACCTGATACTTGAGGCCTAGGAGTTCAGATGCTTGGGGCCCAAATGGTACCCCAGCCAAGGCTTGGGGCTCTTTGTGGCTCCCTGTGGTCAGTGGGACATGTCCAGAGCTCAGGGCAGTGCTCCCTGGGACTGAGTCTGAGATCTAGGCCAGGCCTAATAGTGTAGCATGTTGGGCCATGTTGTGATATGTTGGGGCTTCCCAGGGCTGATGGACCGTTTTGTAGGAAGACCCCACGGAGGGCTGCGTGACAGTCAAAGTGTGGTGCTGTCATAGACGCTGGAGCTTGCTGCACAGAAAGCTCCAGGCCATGTGGGAGCGTGCTGTGCCATGCAATGGCATGCTTTACTGTTTCATTTTCTCATTCATTCAACAAATATTTGTTGAGCATTTACAATATGCCAGGTTCTGTGCTAGGTGGTGAGTGTACACTGTTGAACCAAACAGCTGCAGTTCTGCTATTGTGGAGTTTGCAATCTAATGGGAAGAGAGGCCGGGCATGGGGGCTCACGCCTATAATCCCAGCAGTTTGGGAGGCCAAGGCAGGTGGATTGCTTCACTCAGGGGTTTGAGATCAGCCTGGGCAACATGGTGTAACCCTGTCTCTACCAAAAATTCAAAAATTAGCTGGGCATGGTGGCACGCATCTGTGGCCCCAGCTACTCAGGAGGCTGAGGTGGGAGGATCGCTTGAGCCCAGGAGGCAGAGGTGGTAGTGTGAGCTGAGAAGGTGCCACTGCACTCCAGCCTGGGTGACAAAGTGAGACCCCATCTCAAATAATGATGATGACGATAATAATAATAATGGGAAGATAGACAAATAAATAAGCAACAGCCCCCCCCCAAAAAAGATCAAGAAGTCATTCCAAAACGTGGAGTGTTATGAACACATGCACATAGCATCAGAACCTAGAGACCGCCAAGGCGGTCTCTAATATGATGTCTGAGCTGACAGCTGAGGGATGAGAAGAAGGCAGCCTCTCCCATCGCCCAGCAGAGGCGTCCTAGGAACTGGATCAGCATGAGCAAAAGCTCTGAGGCCAGGCACAAGGGGTCCACTTGAGAAGTGAGCCCTGAGCAGCCGGCGTGCAGCGAGCGAGGCACACAGAGGAGCAGGAAGGGGCTGGGAGGAGGCGGGGCCAGCTCAGCCAGGACAGGCTGTGGGAAGGGGCTTGAATTGCCTTCTGACCACTGAGGAGATGGAAGCATGAGAGTAAAATCACCTGATTTGCATGTGCAAAAGCCCACTCTGGCTGCTCTATAGAGAACAGATGATTGCTGGGTAAAAGTAGATTTAGAGAGGTCAGATGGAGGTTAGGCACCTGCCCTGTATGGTAGACAGCATGCCGCCAGACTCACAAAAGCCCTATTATCTCCATTTCACAGACGCGCAAGTCAAGACGCAGAAAGACTCTCTGGCTTGCCCCAGGTCACACAGCTGTTAGGAGCAGGGCGGTGCCCTGGTGCTCAAGCCCTGAGGCCCCAACACACTGCCTCTGCAGCGGCCACAGCTGTCCAAAAACTAAGTTGACTCTCACACTTGGTAGTGTGTGTGGTCATTCCCTGTGGATATAAGTGGGGAAACGCCGAAGACAAAAGACAGCTTTCCCGTTTCTGTCATATTTCTGTATCCTGGGTGTTTGGAGCCAGTTGAGCTCAAAGGGCCCCTGAGTGCTGTTTCCTTGTGATATTTGGGGGTTAACAGCTTCCCCTCATCTCTTAATTATCTGCCCTCCTTCACTTCAGTTGCACATTCGTTAAAGAATGCTCTCCCAGGAAAAC